ACTTTTAATTTACTCAACCAACCATACTAAGTTGATTTGCCCTTTGATTTCCACCATTCGCATCTGTGTGGAGACAAACATTTACTTCACGCAGTCCAAACCCAACTGCCTTCAGCCTGTCGTCTCCAGCTGCAGATCAGCACCCGTAAAGGGTTACCATGCTAACGCGGGCGGATCCCTACACAGCGTAGAGATCATAATTTAGTTTATTGGTTCCTGGTTTTATGAGCTAAATTTTTTAATTAGATTGAAGAGGATTAAGAACCTCTCGTCTACCGCACTGACACAAGATGAAATGATAAGCTGATGACAGTTTGGTTGGTCAATGAAAAACTGTGGCAAACGGAGGTCAGCTGCCATTCAACCACGGGCTCATCACACACCACCGAGCAGAGTGTGAATGTGTGTGTGTGTGTGTGTAGGGGACATGGCCGGGGTATGTTAGACTCAAAAGAAATGTTTGTATAAGTGTGTGTCTCTGTGAGTGAGTGTGTTTCCTGCCGTTCTGGCCCCAGCTGTACCCAGATGGCCTGAGAGCACAGTGTACTAAGCTAACAGAGACGAGACAGAGACATTCACCCCGAGTTAGTGAGCTGGAAGAACACTGCGGTCTGACACACATAACACAGATCCACATTTCATCCACAGAGGCCACGCCCTAATAAATATCCTCCATTACACTGTACAGGTGTTTACTGAATACATTGGAGATGTGACGTTAGCATCCAGCAGCTTTAATTATTGAATAAAGGAAGGTTACAACATGACTGGATTGAGATAATCACTGACGCATTTACTCCAGTAAAATCAACAAGCTTGGGTGAAAATGATCTTCATTTTAACTTACTCATGCGCTGACATTTTAAGGCTTTGATAAACTAATTTGTCTCGCATTTTTAGTTCTCCCTAATTCGACATGTCATGTCATTAAGAGTAATAATGCTTGAAAAGAGTTCAAAATTAAAAGCTGTGTCACTAAAGCACACCAGATAATTATTATCTTTTATCCTTGTGTGTTTATTTTCTTTGGTCAGAATATATGAGACATCACAAACCACAATTACCGAGATAAAAGCAAATGCATCATCTGTTTTTCTGATTAACCTGTCACATATTTTCCAATTCTTTAAATCTTTAAGTCTGTGAAATGCTAAAAAAAAGTATGAAATATCTATCCTAACTTCTTTAAACTGCTTGTTTTGTCCAGTCTAAAACTAAGACATTAAATTTAAAATCATATTAAAACAGAGAAACAGAAAATCCTCTCACTTGAGAAGCTGACACCAGCAAATGTTTGGCTTTTTTGCTTAGTTAAATAACTGATTATCTGAGAAGCTGCATATTATTTTCTGTCGATCGACTAATTGTTGCATCTCTAGCTGAAGCTTATTCTTCTACTGCAATCAAAAAGACATCATGGCGAATATAACAACAGTATGAGACGGCGCTGCATGAGATTAGTTAGTATACTGAACACCAGTAGTCCGCACTAAAGACGCCATCTTACACCACAATCTTTCAGCCTGCAGTATCCTGACGAAGACGACTTGGTCAAGTAAACTTCAGCCTAATAAATTATTTGTACCAGAGTTTTTGGAGTATGCATAACCTGTCTTTAGTTAGTACTTTCTCTCCTTTTAGTCCATCCATTTCCCCTTTCTATCACTCTTCTCCCATCTTCCCTAAACTCATCTCCCATGCGCTACGCCAACCTCTCTTCTTCTGCTTTCATTTTCCTCCATCCCCCTTTGCCCCTCCGTGATCTATTCCATCCTTTAATATCATCTTCCTTGCGCTCCCTTCATTCTAGCCCTTTCTCCCCTCCTTATCCTGCTCAGCTCTCTCTGTGTCTTTAGGTTGGTCAGTTCAGCAAGGCCGAGTTACATTCCTGGGATGCCTGCTACATATGGTCCACATTCCAGCCGGTCTGCTGAGAGGCCCACCGCTTCTCACCGCTGGCCCTGCAGAGACCAGCCCAAAGCTGAGCGCGCTACTGCATTGCTTCAGCCTAAAATAATCTTTACACAGCTTTAGTTTAGCTCAGCCTGTGCCTGCATGAGGCAGCTAGAACTAAATACCCATGCTATAGGTCCAACTTGAGCCTACCGTGACGCTTTAGTCAGGTCTCTTTCCTCGCATACAGGCTGCTGTACTTTCTCTGTATATCTGTTCCCTTGGGCTACTACGTCTGGCTGCATGTGTGTTTTACATTTTTGTTGCAGGAGAGAACTTTTCCAGTGGGCAGGGACACAAAAAGCAACATATGTTGTACATATGTGTATGGGGTTGGGCTGGTAAACCACACACAGCCCTGCTGAGGAGTGGTGACAGTCTCTATTCATATGAGGCAGTTACAGTACAGTCTGGGACACAGTTGGAGTACTGTTGGCGCTGCATTACCAACTACTGCACCTCAGACTTTGTCATGCCGCACACACCCACACATCCTTGTCCTGTGCATGAGTGTACATCTGTCTCTCCATCAAAATGATAACCATACACACACCTACAGTACGTACAGCACGCCAACACCTGCCAAGGAGCTCTTGGTGTCTTAACCAGACGCAGACACACACCCTTTTAACCCGCTTACAATTTCTATACTTGTTAACCTCTCACAGCTGTATACGGACAATTGAAGCACTATTTAGATATCCAACAAACAATGCTGTATTCATCCTAAAGCGTGTAAAAAAAAAAAACATAGCCTAAGCTTGTTAAAGCTAGCTCTCTGAGGCTGTCTGGGTGTGGCCATAAAAATGTGCAACCTCACTGCAGCTACCGCATTTTCACCGCAGATCCTCCCCTCTTTGATTGGCCATCAATAACAGTCAATGTTCAGTCCTGCTCACTTACACCAAGTCGCTGGACGGATTGGTCATTCATAAGCGCAAGTTAGCAGAGGAGAAGTGACTCATCAAATGACACATTTTTACATGGTATGGTTCTGATCAATGTCAGCCACTCTGACGGGGTAGATCGCTTCCAGATCTTTCTGTGGGTATTTTGGAAAGTTAAGTAAAAGGCCTGTTTGTCAGACTGAACCCTTCCCAATTTGCCGACCCACACATATTCACATATTTGCATAAAATATGTTAAATACTCAAACACACACTCACACACACACACGGAAAAAGATAAATGCATTCATATGCACTCAAAATAACGACTTTCAGGATGACTTGACATTTGACTCTAGATTATAGGGCACGGGGAAACAAAATTGCTGGCACAAACACCAGATTCCAATCTTTCTCCCCTCTTACGTGCCCTTTCTGCGTGTGTGTCTGTCTGGGGAGTGGCGCAATGGACGTCACTGCTGGACGGCTGTATTAATCACATCTAGCCACGCAGAGATAATGACTGTGCCAGTTTACCACGAACGAACACACACACACACACACACACACACACACACACGTACATACATAGGTCAATTCAATGTGGCTAAACAATCAGAGCCCAGACAAAGCAAACACTTAAACAAGATGGCAAAGGGGAGAAGGAGAGAAAGAAGGTGGAAAGGAGCTCATGAGGGAGTAACAGAGTGGTACACTAAACTGGACAGTACCAAGCAGCAGAATGTCTAGCGGTGAATGAACAGCAACTGACTTTATAAAGTTATTAAAATGTGAATACAAATAAACAGGAATTACCCTTGAATTGCAAGAAAACAGCTACTGAGGCTGCACATTCAGTTCCTTTTTTTATCTAACGTGACATGGATGTGAATGTCTAGTCTGGACCTCATTTCATTTCACTCTGACTCATCAAACAATAACAACAATTTCACATCCTTTTTGCATACCGGTTGTTTCACACCCTTAACACGTCATTGTAACCAAAGCCAAGGAGGCCTCGTAAATACATTATCTCACATCCTATACGTGAAACCAGTCCCAGCACAGCACTTCCTGCACGGAGCGTGGGTGGGACGTGCGCTGAGACTCCGACATTATTTCAACAGAGGTTAATTCTCTTAAAGACATCCCAGGGCCTGGGCGTTCAAATGGCGGCATCCTGATAATCCAGATGTGTCCAGTGGTCCGGACTCTGACCGGTCTGCAGCATCATGTATAATTCACTATTCATACCAAAAGAGGGGATAATTACAGCAGGCTGGGCCCTCTTGAGGAAAGAGAAGGCAGTGGGGGGAAGCCAAAGTGAACCCTGTGCAACTAACAAGCATTTCTAGAGCATCTCCAGCCAGAAAAGTGCATTTTAGTTTGAGACATCATGTAAAAATTGGAGGAGGAAAGCAGGAGGGGGAAAAAAGGACATTGTTACTTGTGCAATTTAACCAGGAAAGCTTGTCAGGGCTGGGCAGGCCCTTGGAAAATAAGCAGCAATGGGAACCTCTTATAAATCCGTCAGAACTACAATCTACGAAGCGGAAAAAAAAGGCGAGTAATCGGCCAACAGAAATGGCCGTGATTTGCACAAGGTCAAGTTATCCATCGGGAGCTTTTGTGCCAAAGATCAGAGACGACAAGGCCTGAGCTGTCATTTGGCTGACGTAGATGGGATGCAAGTGGAAAAAGCCACTGGTTGCTTAACAGAATGCGAAGACGGGGAGTTGCAGCTCAGCAGCAGACAGTCCTTTCTGAATCATAACCAAAGAATATCAGCTTAGATAAGTTGTTATATTTCAACCCATTGTCTTTCTTAATGTTGAAATCTTTAAACTGAGATTGCATAAGCAAAGGTTCAGGGGCCCGAACACTGCCTGTAAGATTACATAATCCCTGTCTCTAGAATTCATAGAAAATGTGGGGCAGAGTACATCGACTGTCGAAACTTGTAACAGGTTGATAAGCAAAGCGCAATGTTAAAAAAAAAAGGCAAAGAAAACCAAAAAAGGCAAAATGAAAAACTGCAATATGTCACACAATACACTTCTTGACTGCAAAGTAGACAAATAGGCCTACCTTTTAGCTGTATAGGGTTACAATAGAGCTGTAAGCATTCCACAGGTTGACTCAAATACAACCACACCTTACCTCCACCAATTAACACCTCCTGTAGATTTCCTGGAAGTAGATCCCCATGCCATGATCTAAAGTTGGTTAAAAGACAAGCAGATCTACTGAAGGCACCTGGAGACAGTGAGGGGGGAAAAACAGCATAAGACAAGCTTGAAAGGGGAAATGAATGACGCGGAGGGAGAGACAGAGAGGAGGAGGAGGAGGAGGAGGAGGAGGAGAAGGTGGGGGCAACTCTCCACATCCATGTTGCGCTACAAAGGGTGGGGCCTTGAGGAATTCACTCTATCTGCGCTCCTCTCGAGTTAAAGCTTATCTTAATGAGAATATACAGGGTCAGTGTGCCCGTGCACTCAATTATGACTGAGTTATTGTGGCGCAAACGCATCCGCGAGAGTGAGGAATGACTTCTCGGTATTCTTTGACAAGTCGAGCAGACTTACAGTAATATAGACCCAACTCCTTCCCCTGCTGGATTTACATTAACGCCCAAACGTTTGCTTCGGTAAAGACACACCCGCCCCATCCCCTTTACAGTCATACCATCGCGCTGTATCATGCACAAATGGAAGAAATAAAGATTTTATACAGGCCTCAGCCGAGCGATCTGCACCCCCTGTGCCAAATCACTCCCTTCCTCCTGCTCAGACTGACTCTACATGTCAATAAAATGATAATAAAACATGTTAAAGCGCCTTGGAGATACCGCCGTAGCACGCCCTCTCCTGTGGCCTTTAAATGTCACCTCCGCTAAAAAGTTTGCAAAACGTATTTGACAGTCGCACTTACTTTGCTTCAGGTAAATCCACCGGCTCCAGCCGAGGCGCTCGTCAGTGCGGCTGTGCTATGTCAAATATGCGCAATTTGTGCCGTGCCTGGATGAGATTTGAGGATTATTAGGGCTCTGTTCGGACTGTTTCCCCCCACGCCCAGTTTGCCTGTGGCATTCAGCAGGGCAGGCTACTGTAAAGTTGCCACGTCCGTTACATTTCCCACACTTATGAAACCAAAACGAGCTGTAAAAAGAAAAAACTCGACTTACTTCTCAACTGCGTAACAGTCCAATTAATCTAGGCTACCGCGATGGGACTTGAGCCAAAAGGTGCGCACATCAAGATGGTAATACATTTGTTATGTAATATCTTCCTAGATGAAAATGACTGAACAGGATCTGTGGAGCGGTTGGTAGATATGAGTCTCAGCCCTGGCTCGGACACTCTCGAGTCGGCTTTTGTGATATTTTTCAGTGCAGGAGCGTCACAGAAAAAAACCTTCAGCCACACCTTAACTCTCAATCAATTTTTTTTTTCTGACAGTTCCAGAGGTTTCGACGAGACGCGAAGCAGCGCAAGTTCACCCTGACCACACTGTCGCTCTGTGTGTCTCGTGCAGTCCGGTGTTAACGTTTAAAACACTAGAAAAAAAATAAAAAAGCAGAAATGTAAAAACGGTCCAGTGTGAGTATCCGGTTGGCCGGTCCCACCCCGTGCAGCTCGCTGCTCGTCGGGGCTCCCTCCCCGGTCTCTCTCTCCGGTCCAACTCCTCTCTTCAAACCGGCTTCTCACTCCGATCAGCTGGCAGGGCCGTGACGTCAACAGCCACAACCGGCCAATCAGGCGCGAACCGGAAAACGCACTGCTGACGCCCACTGTATACGCACGATGACGATCAGGTGTGTCAGCCAATGACAGCGCGACTGTCTGTGAGAAATAAGGCGGGCGCTAGAAATAGTGACCAATGGGATTACATCCGCCCATGGAGGCGTTTTATCCTCTGACCTATTAGGTGTTGGGAAGTATTATGTGTGAATTGTTGGGAACTTTTCTACACCAGCAGGCTACAGATGCAACTCAGTATATTGGAACTGATATTAAATAGCCTAGTTTAAGCAACAAAACGTCTTCACTGTATTAATGTGATGAGGTCACCTGTCAACACTTCACAAGGTCACCTGGTTATTCCTCTTATTTTAATCTCCAGTGTCACACCAAATGTCAATGTCAAATATTGTCTCTTCTATTCTAGTAAAGTCAACTTAATTTATATACTGTAGCCCAAAATCACAATCTTTCTTTAGAGCAGGGGTGTCAATCATCTGGTCCGAGGGCCAGACCTGGCCCACCAAAGGGTCCAATCCGGCCCACTAGATGACTTTACACACCCAATTTTTAAAGCAGTTTTAAAGACTAGTGCTCAAGCGAGGAAGTTCAAGTATCTCAAGGTCTTGTTCACGAGCGTGAGATGGATCAGCAGTTTGGTGCGGCTTCTGCAGTGATGCAGGCGCTGCGCCGGTCCATCATGGCGAAGAAGGAGCTGAGCAGGAAGGCGAAGCTTTTGATTTACTGGTCCATCTACGTCCCAACCCTCACCTGTGGTCATGAGCTCTGGGTAGTGACCGAAACAATGAGATTGCTGATACAAGCAGCCAAAATGAATTTCCTCCGTGGGGTGTCTGGGGTCAGCCTTAGAGATAGGGTAAGGAGCTTGGACATCTGGAGGGAGCTCGGAGTAGAGCCACTGCTGCTACGCGTCGAAAGGGGTCAGTTGAGGTGGTTCGGGCACGTCCCACTGGTAGGAGGCCCCGAGGCAGACTCAGAGCACACTGGAGGGACTACATATCTCATCTGGCCTGGGAACACCTTAGGGTCCCTCAAGGAGCTGAAAAGCGTTGCTGAGGAGAGGGACGTCTGCCCCCACGACCCGGCCTGGGATAAGTGGATGAAAATGGATGGATGGATGGATGGTGAGGCTAAGAGGTGCAGCTTTCAGGAGCAAGCTAAATGAGCATCCTACTTTATGTAAAATGTTGCTTTGGAGGCTTTTCCACCCTGACCAGAATACAGTTCTCTGAAAAAAACAACAAAGACTTACTGTGGTCATATTTAAAGATATTGAACATTGTGCAAAATATTGTTAACCAGCAGCTTCAGTACAAAATAATCTGTATCAGACTTATTTTAAAACATTTTTGGTGGAACTCTACAGCTAAGGTATGGCCAGAACTTTTGCTATATACATGGTTTGTTAGGCGCAGATAACTTAACCTGCTTCCGCAATAGCTTCCACTTTAGCATTACTGCAAAAGAGTGGAAGTGTTTCAAAAAATGTAATGACAGCGAGCAGTAGACTGAACTCAGGCTGTTCATGATCTGTAATTAAATAGATAAATGTTTTAACCTTAACGCTCTCAGGAACGTGTGTGCGCCGCTCTTGCATCGCTCTGGCATTTGAGCTCGCCTGCTGCATGTCTACATTGAAAACAATGAATTTAATGGCGCATATAACAAGGCATGTGTACAGCCCTTAAGCCTGTCCTGTTTTTTTGTTTTGTTTTTCTCATGAGTCACGTTTGATGTCACAAACACATTGGAAAACTGGTTAGTAAACGGTGGAAAGCAGTATGGAGCTCAGTGAAAATGTGACAGTGGTCTTTATATCTTTTACTTATTCTGTGTCTCTCTTTAACTTGTGCTGACTACATTTTCAACAATGTTCCAGTGCTGCTTGGATGGAGACAAACGATACTTTGTGACGGCCAGTCGCTGCATCGCACTGGCAAATGTCGGCTAAAATTAGCCGCCTTTCATTACTGTTGATCAAAGCGATCAAGCGAGACCCGAGCCTTCCCTTTTAGCGTGCTTTTGGCTAACACTATGGTTCCCAACTGGTGGGTCATGGTCCAGAGGGGGGTCGCGGGTCCATTCTGAATGACTGAGTGACTCATGAACATGTCAAGTTTGTAAAAAGCACACTTCATTTTGTAGTACAGTGATTTCTGGTGCATAGTTATTATTTTTAAGTGCCATTTCCTGCTGGAGTGTGAATGACTAATGGACTAATGGACTTGACGGAGACAGTAAACTAGCTCGATGACATGGCCAAACGCATGTATGACGCTGAATATATTAAACTGTGTGGACCTTGAACTAATGACGGAGGAGAAATCTGGACCCCGTGGCTGGACCAACACTGTCTCAGCTGTTAAGCCTCATCTTAAAACCCAATATCTAGCTTACTCAGCTGTTGTGATGCTGCTTATGTCGAGTCGTTGTCTTTTTTTTTATCACTCTATTAAGCACTTCCTGCTTGAAAAGCCCTCCATAAATAGACTATTATATTATTACTTTAAGTTCAATAGATTTCGGGGGCACATTACAAAATCACTTTGCAGTTATAGTGCTTACTGCAACTGGAAGCAAATGCAAACGTTTACCATTATGGATGAAAAAATGGCATTAGATTTAGGGTGTTATTATACAGTGTGCTACTTTTATTCATTTTCCCAAGGCACCACAACTACCAGTTGGACTTATTAGCCTTTACCCTCGACAGTTATTGCGGTGCTGATACAATGTCTCCAACCTCCCGAGTAAACGAGGCACTGAGATGGTGCTTTTCCCCCAAAATATATTCAATTTAAAGCTCAGGTGCAGGAGGCTTTTTTGATCTTTAATGATGGCCTACATCAGAGAGACACAGCAGGGGTGGAAGTTGTGTCAAACGCATGACAGATGCCCCTCCACCCACTTCTTCTTCATTATATACTACATTCCCCATCCATGGTCTCCTGAGAAGTCTCAGTGTGGAGCCCAAAATGTGCAGCACTGAACCAAAACTCCATAGCATTTTAAACTGTTTTTTAGCGGGTTTTGCATCTTTTTTTAAGCAAACACAGAATTCCTGTGGCTTGGAGTGGAGTAAGAATGGGGTTCTACTACCAAATAAGTGATTGCACTTCTCATGGATGGAAACCTCAATTGGAGGCTTGCTTGTTGAAGTCACTACAGTTCCACATTTGGAAAAGAGAATGGCGCGTGCTGTATTTTCCCTTCGAACTGGAGGAAAAAGTGAAACATTTGTGTGCCAGCTGTGGAAGTAAACTCTCTGTTGAAGCATCAAGGTGAAATGAAAACGCTCATGATGTAATTTACATGATGAGAATAGCCATGTGACTGTTCAGATAGAGCAGCAGCAGAGTTTGGGGACTGAATGTGACATGAAGACATGAAGAGTAGAGAATATAGAGTCTTTGATACTGACAAGCAGTGCCCGGTGCTGCATAATTGAAGATACCTGAAGTCTTCTCAAGCCACTGCATTGCATGCATGAGAAGAACCAAATCTTGAGTGAATTTTCTCATGATTTTTTAATGTAGTGGATATGTGTGTGCATGTGGCACACGCATTTTGTCGCATATTAGCATGGATTTTGAGAAGATCATTAGATAGGTCTTCTTACCTGTGCACATGCAGTATAAACACACACATTGCATGCATTTTTATCTGCATGACCATGCACATATCTATATCCACTGTAAACGTGTGTGTTCACGTCAGCGGAGGATCAAAACAATGCAGCTTATACGGCACCGTATCAGCCAATCTTTTGGCTGAGGCTCAGAGCAGAAAAGTTACGCAGATCAAAGGCAACAACCTGTCAACCCTTTTGTTGTAACATATTTTAAACAGGCAGTAACACAATGCCGCCTCAGCACAGTGACACAGCTTTTATTCCTCGCCTCAATTTATGTTGATGCATTCACAAAGCTGGGCAGGAATGCGCCACAGGCACACATCGTTCAAGAAACCAATCCTTCCTCCTCTCAGCGTTCTCGCATGGCTATAACCACACTGTGAGGTGGCTGCGACTGTTTTTCCACCCCCCCTTTTCTTTTTGTCTGTTGACTTAAACCCATCAGGGCAGGGTGCACCATTCAGTTCATATCTC